CAGCAGGAAAAGAATACTGTGATAAACTTGTTTCTTTGATACCAAAAATTCTAGTCCAATACACTTCCTTTGTCTTCATTAGATACTTATTTTACTGACGCTCTTTATTCTTTTCCACTTTTCATATTAGAGGGAAGGTACAGCCTTTAAACATTAACATAAGTGGGACCAGCAGATGGCATGGTTATGGCACTGGACTCCCACATGGCTGACTGCAATTTGAGTCCCAGACTCAGAGGCTTGAAATTCACACCAGGTATTTATACATGCATGCCCAAAATCCCAAAAGGAGAATGGAAGACAAGAGATTGCAGTGTGTCCATCCCCAGGCGGTCGGGGAGGTGTGTGTGTGTGTGTGTGTGTGTGTGTCTGTGTGATTTCTCGCTTTCTATCTCTCTTTTCTTCTTAGTTTTTCATTTCTTTTAAAAAAATAAATTCCAATGGTAGGAACAATGTAGAATAATAATGTTTTTTAAAAACTAAAAAAAAGAATATATATTCCATTAGTACAATTATAACACACCCTATAGAAAAAAAAAACTCTCCAAAAACAATTATTTCCTGGTATGTTATCCAGTTTTCAGTATCAACTGATTTCTTCTCAAAAAGTCAAATAAGTGGGAAACCTCGTGGGTCAGCACAGGGGTCTTCCTTTCTAGTCCACCATCTGTGGTGAGACTGCCACCAAGATGCAGATTTTCATAAAAACCTTACAGGGAAGACCATCGCCCTGGAGGTTGAACCATCGGATACAATAGAAAATGTAAAAGCCAAAATCCAGGATAAGGAGTAATTCCTCCTAATCAGCAAAGATTGATTTTTGCTGGCAAGCCGTTGACGATGGGCATCCTTTGTCTGACTACAACATCCAAAAGGAGTCCACGCTTCATCTCATGTTGAGACTTCATGGTGGTGCTAAGAAAAGAAAAAAGTCTTATACCACTCCCAAGAAGACTAGGCATAAGAAAAAGAAGGTTAAGCTGGCTGTCCTGAAATACTGTAAGGTAGATGAAAAGGGAGTGCCCTTCTGATGAATGTGGTGCTGGAGCTTTTATGGCCAGCTGTTTTGACAGACATTATAGTGGCAGATGTTGTCTCATTTACTGCTTCAACAAACCAAAAGAAAGGTAATCATTTATGAGTTAATGAAAGAAATGAACTAACCTTTAACAAAACAAAACAAAACAACACAATAACCAGATAGCCTGGCAGTTTCATTGTCATTAATATTCTAGGCATGAAAAAACCTAATAGGACAGAGACAAATCCAATGAATAGAAGAAGAAACTTACAGGGTTTTGGGATATATGGTGCATTGGATCAGTCTAGAAAAATGAAACCTAAACCTTCCAGTGTAAACTGGAAGCTGGATATAAGCTCTGTCTTAATATATGGTCCACTTACTCTGTAGGCCAAGAAAGCTACTGGCCTCTGATGCCCATGTTCACCAGTTATAGAACCAGTGGTTGGAATTGCAACAATAATGTCATAACTTACTCCTATGGTGATAAGTACACCACCACCACCACCAGAGCATGCACTTCTATGGCAGACAGCATGTGCAGACAAGTGGTTTCTTCAGCTTCATGTTGGAACATTTGAGTACTAAGATCAGGACTCAGTACAAAGTCTCCACGTTGGTGGCAGCAGGGGTCACTAACAGCTTCGAGCCCCACACCAAAGGTTTTGTGGCTTAAGAGGTGTCTGGTACGAAGGTAACCCCAGAAGGGGACAAAGGAGCTGGGACTGAGGCAGAAAGAGACTAGCAGCAGAGAACGGCCATAATGTCATCTGATGTCATGTGGGATAGGTAAGAAAGGGGTCTGGACAAGTCAGTTTAGAGGCCTGGGATTCAGGCCTGGAGTTTGGTGGTGGTCCAGAGCAAGTCTGCTGTTTAAGATGCAAGCCAGAGAGAACCTCAACTGGTAGTTAGAAAACCTGATTCTGATCCTACAACTTCACCACTTTCTCTCCTTATCACTGCAATGAGACCCTGTATTTCTCCAAGTTTCTGTATTCTCATTAGTAAAATGTAACCATCTTCTCATAGTCCCCTGAGAATCTGTGTCTATGTATTTTGGAGATATTTTCATTTAATGCTAACCTAAAAACATACCAAGATAAGCCAATCCTGAACAGAGCGTTGACATAAGTTTTTAGCTCCTACAATTTCAGTGCTAGCATTTGTATTTTGTTAACCGTTTACTTGACACCAGGCTCTTCAACTTTCATTGTTTTGGTCTAGTAAAGAAAAGAACACAAATACACTTAACAGATAAAAAATGCATTAGGGCCAACTGAAGGACAGTAGCATCTCATGAAAGTTCCAGAGCTCTTCAAACAGAAAAATTCTGATTGATGAATCAAGTCATCACTTGGAACAGGGTAAAAGGAGAAAATCAAAAGTATCCTTGCCAAGGTCAGAGATTTAGTTTCAGCAAAATAAAACCTTGTAATGAATATGCCATCTGGAATTTTGTTGGTTTTAGTTTTGTTTGTATTTGATCTGTCAACTTATTTTGGATGTATTGATTATATGTGGTATAAGCAAGTGGAACACATACCAGTTTTGTGTTTTTAAGTAACATATGAGAACACTTTAAGTCATCATGTTGTAGCATTTTTCTTTAAGAAAATCTGTGGGGTCAGCCATTGCCTAGTGGTGGTGGTTCAGGATGGCCACCTGTGCAGTTCAAGTCCAAGACATAGTAACTTGAAAAACATGCCAGGTGCAGGTGTATGCATGCCCAAAATCCCCAAAGGAGGGAGAAATGGAGAAGAAGGGATTGTGGTGTGACTATCCTCCATAAGGGGGGGGGGCTTTCTCTCCACCTTTCACTAGTGATTGCATGTGCACTCTAAAAAGAGAGAGAGAAGGAGAATGAGGAGTAGAAAAGGAATGGGTGTGCTGTTCAAGCCCGAGGAACACTTCTCTGAAGATGATCGAAGGTCTTTCCTAAAATGACTGTATCTCCCCGTCCTCCTGCTGGGTACCCCTCACTTAGCTGCTGGCGGGCAGCTTCTGGTTGCTATTGAATCAACCAGCCCTCCCATATCCTACCAGACAGGAGCAGGCCTTCCTCTTACAGTCTCCCATCACCGCCTGCCCTGTCCTTCCTAGACTCAGTCTGAACTGAGCGTGATTATCCTAGTTACATGAAGTGGGGTGGCAGCGGCTCTTACCCGAAAGTCGTGGGCCGTGTCCTTCGCCGGCTGCACGCGGTGACCCTGGTGCCGAGGGTCAGCCTGACAGGAGCAACACAGCATCTCCTTGTCGTCGAGGCAGAAGAGGCTGAGCTGGCCGCGGTGCAGGCGGCAGAGGCGTGGGGAGCGGTGGCCCGCCCAGCGCGCGCCCTCTGCCTCCTCACGCAGCAGCTTCTCCACCAGGTTGTTGAGGGTGTGGTTGGTGCGCAGGTCGGCCGGCGACGCGCGGTCCTTGCACACTGGGCAGGTGGGCGCCGTCTGCACCTCCCAGCAACGGCTCACGCACCCGCGGTCGTCCCCGCCCCCCGCGGCAGAAGTTGTGGCCGCAGCGCAGAGTCACGGCGTCGCGGAAGGGGTCGTAGCAAACCGCGCAGAGCAGCTCCTCCTTGAAGGAGCGGGACGGTCCAGGGGATGCGGCGGGGCCTGACTCCATGGTCCTAGCCGCGGACTCAGGAGCCCCCAACTTTCGCCCCAGCCAGTTCTACCCGCTTGGCAGCTGGGGCAGGGATGTGGGCGGTGCCCAGCCCCTGGGGCTGCTGGGCGAGGGCAGCGCTGGCCAATCGCGCGGGGAGCGCGCGGGAGGCCCCGCCCACTTCCGGCTGTCTCGGGAAACTCCGGAGAGCCGGGCAGCCCCAGTACGGTTCATCGCCAGTCCCAGACTGGGCACCAGTGTATCACGGAAGGTTCTCCCAAGTGCACTCTACGGCTTCCGCGTCACTGGACACCTACTTCCGATTTGAAATGGGTGATCATGTCCAGGAACCCTTATAGACCAGTGCCCGGAAATCTCAGGGGTACCAAGTGGGAGAAACCAGAGATTCCCAACTTCCTGGTTCCGAAGTAGTGGCTGGGGCTTCCAGCAAGGTGGTAGGTTTCACTTCAACTGTGTTGTAGCTTCTTAAAGACCCGGCACCGCTCTTGCATTCGTCCTGACCTTCTTTTGGCCAGTCTGACGAGGAAACAAGTGAGCAACGGGGTAGTGGAGACCTCGGAAGAAACGGTTTTTGTCCTGTGGTTGAATAAGTGGACGAGTCATCACAATCTTTCAAAAATCTCTTTCCTCATGAGTAATATGACTGTAATGCCTTGTGTCTCTGAGAAATGTGAGCGATAAAGTGAAATAACTGGAAAGTGCTCTTGGCATTAGGTGGGGTCCTATTAAAACAGAGAGAATCCCACTGCTAGTTCCTGCCTCAGTTTGATCACTTTATAGCCTTCGGATGTAGACTGCTTTATACAAGACACACTTCCCTTCCTGGTTTCTTGTTGAGAAACAGTTCTCCGTGAGTCTCATGTTTCTGCATGTTAAGAGCAGAGGCACCAGATCTGTTTTTCCAACTATCTTTTCAAGAATATTTCTTTGGTGAACAGCCATGGAAGGCAGATGTAACATCTCCCTCCAGGCAATGGTCTGGCAGACTTCCTCCTTAAAAAATGAGAGATTTCTAAGTTAAAAGTTCCTCCCCTAGAATGCCACGTGTTTGGCCCTCATCTGCACAGGCTTGTGGGAATTGGAGCTCGGGAAACTGACCCAGTGACAATACTCTGATGATCATTACTACTGTTAGTAATAAACTGTCCCTTTGTCAATGACTCAGGAATCTCTGGTCTTCCAGCAGCATTCCCAGAATTGTACCAGGCTAACTTGTTAGCTTGCAAGCTGGATAAAATCTCAGACCTCTTATAGTTCTTGACAATTTCCTTCCAAACTTTTCTTCAAAATAGCCCTTTTCTCACAATATAGCAAAAGATATGAGTATACCTAATTCTTCTTCCCTTCAGTGTGTTTTACATGTGGTCCATGGTCCTCCTGCAATCACTTTGGAGCTTTCTAAAAGAGACAAGTCCTGGGCCTACTTCAATCTATTTGACTGTCTTAGGGGAGAAACTTAGGAATCTGCATTTCACACACTCACCAGGTAGTTCTCAGGCACAATGAAGTCTGAGAGTCATTGTGCTGGATATACTCACCCAATTAGTTGTCAACTCTCCAGCTACCATTTCTCATTCAAAAGTTAACCCTAGAGGGCCAGCAGATGGTGTGAAGGTTCAGGTGACTGGATCCCACATGGTCAACTGTGTGGTTCAAGTCCCATGCCTGATGTTTGAAAAACACACCAGGCACATGTGCATGGTACCAAAAATCCCAAGAGAAGAATAGAAGAAAAAGGATTGTATCTAGGCCATCCCCCGCCCCCCACTCCGGGGGTGGGTATTTTCTCACTTTCACTGCCCTTCTCTGTCTCTCTAAAAAAAAAATAATAAAAAATAAAAAAAAGGGAAAGAAAAAGAAAAAAACCCAAAGGCAATATTAGGAAAGGCCACAAGATGGGGCTGATAAGCCTATACTCAGGCACCTCCCTGGAAAATCGTCCCTGGGCTCTTTATTTTCACCGCGTTATCTATGTGTCCCAGTTGCTCTGAGTCTATCTGTATTGTTATCTGTGTGTTCCATTTTCTTCCTATCTCATTTTTCATATTTGTTTTGTAATTGAGGTTTTCCCCAGACTCTGAATGGTGATACAAATGAGAACAAGGATGAGGAGTAGCAATTAACTTCTGTATCATTTTAAGATCCAATGTGAAAGTTAACATGAAGCCAATACGTTTCTCCAGTCTGTCTGGAAAGCTGGAAAGAATCTGGTTCTATTCCAAGCACCGCCCCTAGGAGCATGACCTGGGGCATATTATTTCATCTTTCTGATGTCCTTTTCTTCAACTATAAGAAGACAGATAAAAGTAACTGCTTCATGTTTTTTACCAGCTCATGTTCTGAAATTGTTTTATTCTTGGCCTTTATTCAGGAAAAAGGGTGACTAAGACTTACCAGAGATCAGGAAAGGAAAATCTTGGTGACTATAACCCATCTGTCACTAACTTCTGTTTCTTCTTTCAGTAAAAAGGACTTTATTCAGAAGTCCTTGTTGAAGTTCAAGTCCTCTGTATATTTACTAAACTACTGCAGAAGTTCCCCTGCCTCTAACTTCCACCATCCTCCACCCCAAATGTCCTCGCCAGCCACTGCTTGATTTCCATTAATGTTTAAGTTTCCATCAGTTCCCATAGTGATAACTTTTTAAACTGTTGTGTTAGGGGGAAAAAAATAGGTACAAAGAGAAGAGGGCAGAATGTATTTTAAATTTCTTTTTAAAGCAGTGAGCTAGAAAGCGACTGCAGTGATCATAATAAAGCCAGGAGCAGTGGCCAACACCTGTGGTCCCAGCTACTGAGAAGGCTGAGGCCCAAGCACAGATGACAAGCAAGATCACATCTTTTAGTAATAAAATAAAATAAAATAAAATAAAATAAAATAAAATAAAATAAAATAAAACAAAAAAACCTGGACAGTGACACAGTGGAAAAACACAATGCTCTGTAAGAATGACCTACCTGGAAAGCTCCAGGTTGGTATCCAGAGACGCCCCTGAATATGGCAGGCATGCATGGCCCCATATCCTGTTGGGGGTGCTGGCTCTCTGTTTCTCCTTCTCTTTCTCTGTCTCTCACTTATAGAAGAAATAAACTTAAAAGAAAAAAGACCAGATTGCACCTATACTGAACACGTACAGACTTTTCCTTGTCATTATTCCCTAACAATGCGGTGTAACAACTATTTACATAGCATTTACATTGTATAAGGTATTACCAGTAATCTAGAGCTGATTTAAAGTGTATAGGAGGTTGTACATAGGTTATATGAATATACTATTCCATCTTCGATATAAGGGATTTTTGTACCCTCAGGTTTTTTTTTTGCATCCTCATATTTTTTTTAAGTTTTTTTTTTTTTTTTTTTTTTTTTTTCTGGTTGTAGGGCATGTACACTTGCCAGAGAGAGGCAGAGATACAGAGAGAGGGAAACTAAGAAATCATCCCCCAGCAAGAATGGCCACACCGCAATCACTTCTCCATCTTGCTCTTGAGATTTGGGGCATGCACACATATGCACCCTGTATGATTTTTTTCAAGCTGCCAGATCCAGAACTTGAACCATAGTAGACCATGCGGGAGCTCAGTGCCTTAACCACTCCACCCCCTAGTGGTCCCATGTCCTCAGATTTTATTATCCATTAAGATTTCTGGAATTAATTTCTCATGATACTGAGAAATGACTATATATGCCACATTCAAGAAAACAACTTTAAATATAAGCATAAAAATAAGTTAAAATAAGAAGATGGCATAACAGTTACATCACTGGACTCCCATGTAGCTGACCACAGTTTGAGTCCCACACCCGGTGGCTTAAAACTCACACTGGATGCATGTGTGTATGTTCCCTAGATCGTGAGAGGAGAGTGGAGGAGAAGGGATTGCAGTGTGGCTATCCCCCCTGGCGGGGAGTGATTTCTTACTTTCTGTCTTTCTCTCGCTCCAGCAAAGGCATGTTCCCTGTAGCAAAAATCTCTCTTAAAAGAAAAAAAAGTTAAAAGTATGAGGAAAAGATACATCATGCTAATACTAATCAAAAGTAAGCTGGTATAGCTAAGCTAGTATCAGACAAAAAGTATTACAAAAGTAAGAACGATGGCTGCTGAATAGGGCAGCTGCAGGGAAAGCAATAGTCTCTCCAGAAATAGGCGACCGCGGCTGCAGAAACTTCACCAGCGTTACCGAGGAAATTTTGGAGGCAATCACTGTAGCGTGTTTAACGTGGAACACAGTGATGGCTAGGGCCTCCTCTGGGCCCTAAACTGTGCAAACAAGGAGAGCAGAGGTTCTTAGTTGGTACGAATAATAAAAGCAGGCCTTCCATAACAAATAATTCTTGGGGCCAGCCCTGGCCTGATAGTTAAGGTGGCTGGATTCCACATGGCTGACTGTGTGGTTCAAGTCCTGAACCTAGTGGCTTGGAACACACACTAAGCATGTGTACACATGTACCCAAAATCCAAAAAGGAAGGAGAAATGGAGAAAGGATTATGGTGGGACCGTGCTCCTTAAATCTGGCAAGCACACTCACCCTCTGTCAAAAATTTTAAAACATAATAATAATAATGCTTACTAATGCTTTTTTTTTTTTCTGGAGAGGTTTTTGCTATAGGACGTGTGCAGACAGAGAGAGACAGGAAGGTAGAAGACGAGAAGTTCCCCCCCCCCCCAGGGTGGATTTCTCCTCCATTCTCCTCTCGGGATTTTGGGCACACACGCACACGCGCCTGGCGTGAGTTTAAGCCACTGGGTCTGGGACTCGAACCGCAGTCAACTACGTGGGAGTCCAGCGACATAGCCATTATGCTAACTGCTGGTCCCAATAATAATGCTTAATGCAAGTAACTAGGAAAACACCTATGGTAGTAAACTGCCTGCCTCTAAGTCAGAGTTGATAGGTTTTCTTATTTGATCCATACACTTTTTTTTTTCCTGTAGCATATGTAGTCTTTAAACCATACATGTATAAAATGCAATTCAAAGTGATGTAAACAGTAAGGAAAGGGGTTATCTCAGAAGAAGTCTGGAGCCAAAAAGGTGCTAGGGTTAGTTTTGTCAGTAGTCCCAGACTCTTTGTACCTACTGATCT